TTTGTTTTTCTTTTGATTTTGTTCACATTTATTGTAAACAAATTTTGATGTCCTCGAAGTACCGGTATTTCGAGGCTCGTCACCATAGCTGTAGGTTAGGCCTACTGGTAGCTCTAGGGTCGGGCCTTGACAACCCGTAGGTACTGGTGGTTTAAGTTCACAAGCAATAAAGCTAAGTAGCAAATCCGGATATCCGGGCACCCTTGATTTCCCCGGATTTGCAGAGCGGATAATACTGCCGGATGAAACCGGATTAAGTATATCCAGAGGGTAAAAAATAGGGTACTTTTCCGAAAAAACAAAACACCTCAAAAAAATCTGAAAAAAACAAGGCTGCACAGGTCACCGGCCGGTTGGACCCGACCCAACTGGGCCGGTTGGAACCCTGGTGGTCCAACCGGAAATCCGGTTGGGGCCAAAACTGGGTCAATTTTTTTTATTTTTATTTTTCTGCTGATGGGGTTGGACTGCGCTTGTCGAGATCTCCCCGAATCTGCAGAGAAAACAGTGATCTGCAAAAAAAACTTTCCTCGGTTCTTTTTTTTTGGGGGGGGGAGGGGGGGGGGAAGTGGAAATTCATGGGTTGATTGTGGGCACGCACCCACCACCCTCCTCCGCGCGCATCCACTACCCCCCCCTCTCTCTCTCTCTCTCTCTCTCTCCATCGCAAACTTCGGACTTCGGCTCTGCAAAAGAAGTAGAAGAAGAAGAAGAAGAAGAAGATAGTAAGAAGAAGAAGAAAAATAGAAGAAGAAGAAGCAGAAGAAGAAGGTCGTACGAAGAAGAAGAAACAGGCAGACTCACCTTTACCAATGGACGGTGGGCCAGGGCGATGGCGATCCGAGGCCGGGGCGGACGTGGGGCGGGCTGATGGCTTGCAGATGGACGTGGGGGGGCCGACGCAGTCTCGACCTCGGTCACTTTCGACGAAGTGTTGAAGTGGCGGGTCTTGGGGATGGTTGTTCGAAAGCAGAGGCAGGAGGCGGGGAGGTTGGGCCGGTGCTTGGGGATCGTTGTTCGCCTCCAAGAACTTTGGGCGGTTTCCCACCCGAATGTTCAAAAACTGGCGGCCTATCTGGGCCGCAGATCTGACTAGATCGACGACCCAGATAGGACGCCAGTTTTTTAGCATTCTGGCGGGCCTACAGGACCCTGTTTGTTTATTTTCGGGGCAGGGAGGCCTCCATGACCCGCATGGAGGCCTACTGGCCCCGAAAAAAATTGAGACCCCCCCGGTCGAATTGTGCAAATTTTCACCGGGGCGGAACCGGCGCTCTCCACCGGCCGGTACCCCCGGCCCGGTTCTGGTCGGGGAAGGGGGCCCCGGTGGGACCGGAAATTCAGCCTTGGAAAAAACGGTATGTTGTAGATTGTAACAATACCAACAACTTTTGGCGGGAGGTGATTTCAAAATTCCTATCAGATCTGGAGACAAAAAAATAATAATAATAAAAAAAGAATATACATATATAGTATAATAGTATATACATATATACAGGGTTGCCGGCGTTCGGGACAGGCCGAACGCTCGAACCCGAACGGCCGAATGTTCGGCACCCCCTCTCTACGCATTCAGCCGTTCGGCCGAACGCGGACCCAAAAAAAAAAAACAAAAAAAAAACAAACGATTTCCAAAAAATCTGGAAAAAAAAAAAATGTTATGCAAAAGAATAAACTAAACAACATTTAACGTTATGTCCGAATTCTTTACCAAATTTGAAATAAAAATCAAATACTCAAAATAAATAATAATAATAATGAAAATTAGAAAAGATAAAACGAGAATGGAATTATTGAGTGTGCGAGCACGTTTTTTACACCGCCATCTTTGGCGATTTTTCATTTGTTTTTGGCTGTGACAAATGCCATGCAATTTTATATATGTGTATCTTACATAATAGAGAATCTACAAATAAARTTTGAAAAAATAATAATTTTTTTCATTCCCCGAAATAAAGGAAAAACAAAAAGTGAAAAGAGAGAAAAAACAAATTAGTGAGTGGGCAAGCAAGTTTCGACACCACCATCTTTGCCGGGTTTTTTTTTTTTTTTTTGGCTGAACAGAATGGCTTCAAAATTAAGAGGGAGATACCTTACATCACAAAGAACTCACAAAAAAAAATTCAGACAAAAATAATAATATCTAGGTGCCAAAATAGATTTTTGCAGGGTCCGAACCCCTTAAGGTTTGGGCCCCGTACGGGGACCCGAGCGCCCCAATTCGGGGGGCAGCTTAGGGGCCTCCGTACGTTCAGCCTGGCAACCCTGCATATATATATATATATATATATATATATATATATATATCGTCAAATAGAACTGCCCGGTAAACCGTAGGCAGAGAGGGAGAAGAGGACAACAAACGAGGGGCTGTGACAAACTGTTTCGTCGGAGTTTCACCGACTCATCAGGAGGCTGAACCCTCAACAGTCTGTAGAATCCCCTCACTGATTACACTGTAAGTGATAATCCACCTTAACCAAAATCAAAGTAGACTATCACTCACCCACACCAGATGGAAAACTCTACAGACTGTCGGTTCACACCCCATCACAAGCCAGCAAAACACCCACGAAACAAAGAAAGGTCTGTCACAGCCAAAAAATACACTCCAGACACGCCGCTGGCACTAGAGGCACAACATGGCCGCGTAGTGACGGCACCGACCACTGCCGCTCGACCTGACCGGAGAAAACCGTAGCAAGAAGCTAGCGAAGTCGTAGTATATATCGTCAAATAGAACTGCCCGGTAAACCGTAGGCAGAGAGGGAGAAGAGGACAACAAACGAGGGGCTGTGACAAACTGTTTCGTCGGAGTTTCACCGACTCATCATATATATATATATATATATATATTGTCACAAAAATATCAGAGCGCAAATGCGGAAAAAAAGAAAAAAAAAGGAAAAAGGAAAACCAAG